AGTCTTTTTTGAGAGGCAAAGACTTTTTCAGCTCCCAGCTTCTATCCCCTTGAGTTTCAGTTGTAATTTTGTGTGACTGGGAATCTGATAGCTCTCTATCATATCAAATAATGCCCATGTTTCCCACACCAAACAGCTACCTGCCCCTCATGCTACCTTTATATTTGAGTTGATCTGAAGTGGGTTGCTTTTCCCTATATCCAAAAGACATTTAACTCAAATTTGCTTTATATTTCCAAAGATCAAATAAGAATAAATGGGCTTAGTAAAATCAGAGAAAATGGTAGTTAACTATGAAAGAAAGCTGTGGGAGTTTTAATACTTAATCAATTATGTCAGTTAAGTGATCGACTTCAACTCAGTTCATGATCTCACGGTTTGGTTCATGGGTTCAGGCCCCTCATTGGGCTCTGTGCTAACAGTTCAGAGCCTGGAGCTTGCTTTGGATTCTCTGTTTCCCTCTCTCTCTGCCCCTCCCCCACTTGCACTCTGTCTCTCTCTCTCAAAAATAAACGTTAAAAAATTATATAAATAATGTCTAAATATCAAGGAGTAGAATAAGATCCAAATATCCTCTCAAAGTTTCAAGATCCCTTGATTGGTAACAGATGATCATTTAAAAATGCACATTTTCCGGCAACTGAATTTCTTATAAAGCTAAAGAACCCTTTCATGATTTGGTCTCATTTGATACTCAAAACACTCATGAGGTGGCACTACTGATATGTCTCTTTTACAGATGAGGAAACTTGAATGTAGACAGGCCAAGTGATTTGTCCATGATTCTTCAGCTCAACTGTTTGACTCTGGAGCTCTGCTCTTACAAACCTCCCTTCACTGCCCCATGGGAAAATTTAATTACAGCACCAAACCAAAAGTGCTGTGTATAATCCAGAAGTACTCAGTTCTGGGATGTTAAATATTAATTATGCAATGCTTTGTTGCTCTGCCAGGCTGATGAGTGAGAAAAAAAATCTTATTTAAAATTTTTTTTAATCTGCAGTTCAACTGAAGATTATCATGTTGTTTGAATTACATTGATTGCCATCATTAATGATTGTGCTACATCTAATGATGCTTACAAAGGATAAATCATTGATTCTTCCAAAAATGAAAAAAAAAGATCTAATATTTTGAATCAGCTCTAAGATAGGTGATTGCAAAGACTCGTAAAACATTGTCACCATGTTTCTGGTTCTAAAACAATAAACGTGAGAAGTGGACTGTCATGGTAGAACTGATTTAGTCTTTGTAGTGAGGCAGACAGGGTTTAATTGTCAGCTGTGCCATATGACAACATTGTCACTTATATCTGATACTCACTTTCTCTGAAGAGAAGCAGTTTCCTTAGATGCTTAATGAAGATAAAAATACCTACCTCTTGGTGTACCTGGGTGGCTCAGTCAGTTAACCATCTGACTTTGGCTCAGGTCATGATCTCAGAGTTTATGGGTTGGAGGTCCACACTGGGATCCACACTAACAGTGTGTAACCTGCTTGGGATTCTCTTGCTCTCCTTCTCCCCCTCCCCCTCTCCCTCTGCCCCACCCCTGCTCATGCTTTCTTTCTCTCTCAGAATAAATAAACTTGTAAAAAAGCCCACCTTGGACTTCAGGCTAGGATTAAATGAAATGGCACATATAGAATGAATGCAATAAGAGAAAACTGATGTCATTTTTACATTCATAGCCATTGGAAGGAATTAGTTATGAAAACCTTCACACATACCAATTCCAAACAGATTCCATCATACCATCTTTGACATTGCACTTTACAAATGCGTGCCTGCAGAGGCCCAGAGATGGGATGGTGGAGTGATCTTTCATTGTGAGAGAAAAGAAAAGCTTTATAAAGTTTGGTGAAGTGTGTTGGTTTTCTATTTCTGCAGCAACAAATTATCCCAAGCTTAGCCGCTTAAAAAATAGCATAAATTATACACCTGAAAATAATAGAAAATTGTATATCAATTATATTTCAGTTGAAAAGCACAAATTTATTACTTAAGAGTTATGGAGGTCAGAAGTCTGACACGGGTCTCTGTAGGCTAAAACCAAGGTGCCTACAGGGTCACATTTCTTACCGAAGGATCTAGGGGAGAGTCTGTTTCTTGGCTCATTTCAGTTTCTTATGGTAGTAGGACTGAAGGTCTCATTTCCTTGATGATTATCAACTGAGGACCATTTTCAGTTTCTAGAAGCAACCAGCATTCCTTGGCAGGGGGCTCCCTTCCTCCACCTTCAAAGCTGGCAATAGTGGGTTCAGTCCTTCTTATGCTGCTATCTCTCCGGCCTCTTCTGTTGTTGCATCTTTCTGACCCACTCCTCTGCTCTACTCTTTCACTTCTAAGGACTCTTGTGGTTAGATTGGGCCCAACCGAACCATCTAGAGAAATCTCCCCATGTCAAGATTTTTAACCTTAATCACATCAGCAAATCCTTTTTGCTATGTAGAGTAACTTACTCACATGTTTAGAGCATGGACATCTTTTTCATGGTTGAAGTATTCTGTCTACCAAGTGACTAATAGCATACATAAGGGTCTTCCAAGTATGGAGTTGTTATGATTGATTCACATTATGTTCTGGTTTGCAAAACAAGTGAGCTGTTGTTAAAAATATCCACTCTTACAGACAGACAGACAGACAGACAGACAACACATGACCTTGTGTAATTTGGCTTCTGCTTACCCTGATTACCTCTCACCATTCTTATGCTTTCTCTGCTCAGTTATACATTATCATTATACTGAACTTACGGTTACCAGAAAGCCATCCTTGCCTAAAATACAGTATACAAACGAAGACTGGTTAGTCCATATAAGATAATAAAACTCTCATCTACGAAAGAAATCCAGGAAGCCAAACACAACCTCTTCAGCAATTGGCCCAGGATAGTCAGAACTTGATCAACATCTGCCAATGTCTCTGGTTTTTTTATGTATGTTTGTTCCCCTTCCCCCTGCTTCCAACATAGGACCAGCCAGAGAAAGCCAAATATGTGTCCCAAACCAATTGCTTAGGATGCTGTGCTTCTAGATAGCCTACCCCCCAGCCTCCCTGTGCCAACAACCTCCAATCAGAATGTAACTGAAGCTTTCATATTCCCTTACTCTTTTTCACTATAAAGCTTTCACTCTTCCCTGACAGCGTTTGAGTATCTGTCAAATGCAAGTGATGATGGCTGATTCCCTTGCTACAGCAAGCTCTGAATAAATAGACTCTTTGTTCGTATTTATTTCCACACCTCCCTTACTCTTTCATATATTTATTTACCTTTTTCTTTTCTCTTCTTGGATCACTCATTCTTCCTTGCCTTATGTGAGTAATTGATACTCCTCATTTGAGTGTCAGCTGAGATGTCACTAATGACAACAATAACAATAATTATTAAAGTGATAGAGAACTTGTATTGAGCCCTTTACCTGATGCCAAGAACTTTCTAACCATGTCCAATTTATCAACCCATTAAACTCTTGGCAATAAATTATTGATGTAGGTTTCTATTATCGTTCACATTTTACAGACAGGGAAAGATAATTCAGAGAGCTAAAGTAACTTGCCTAAGGTCACTTAAGTAGGTGAAGGAATTAGGGTAGAATTTAGGCAGCTGGTTGCCATAGTTCACTTTTGAAATCATGATGTTATATTGCTTTCAAAATAGATTTTCAAATGGCCTTAGTTTGGAATAGGTACCTCTTATCATATGCTTAATTAGTATTCTGTACTTTATCTTTACCAATAATACTGTATTATGATTGTGAATTTAACTGTAGTCCTACTAAAATTGAAGCTCCCTTAGATCAAGGACAGTATTTATCTTACATATGTTTATAAGTCCAGCATACAGTAACTTCTCTATATGTGTGCATTTGAGGGATGAATAAATTAATGATTGAAAAAAAATTCAAAAGCCTAAATTAGTTTTAATCAGAGGATACAATGTTAAAAAAAAACAAACAAACAGAGAAAAAGGACCCTACTTCTGAACAAACTTTGAATGCAACACAATTCTACCTGGGAATTTACAGTTATTATCCAGGAATACAGGACGGCTTCTCTCTTCTGAGCTTAGGTTTCTTCTATAATCTTAGACATAAAATCATATGAAGCAGTAATATCAGTCTCTCCTCAGAAAGGCTCTTCCAGTTAGGAGTCATTATTAGGTTGGACCCAAAATCTTCTTGGCACTGGTTTCTGAGGCAGAGTATCTCCAACTTAATAACATTCTTCTGAACTCTGCCACAATCCTAAAAGCTCTTCCCCCAACACGCAGTGCTGGAGAATTAGCTGAGAGCCGAAGGTGGCTAGGTATCTCATGTATCTCATGGACTGTGTCAGAATCCTAGAGCAAAGTCCCCACCCATGTTCCTTAATATGCCAAACCTCTGGCTAACTGCCCTTGTAACCCTCATTCTGGGAGCTCTTATTCATGCTCAGTGGGTGTCCTTTTTAGATCGATAAGACTGGTATATCTGGAGAAGCACTGAGTCAGTCATCTGGATCAATTCTTTTACTTTGTATTTAATACTATTGAGAACCATTCATTCATTCAACAACTATTTATTGAGCATCTATCAACTGAATTTCTGGTATTGTTCCAGGATTTGGGGGATCCACAGGTGACTTAGATAAGACCCCAGCTATTATGAGGTTTGTATTCTAGTGGGGTTGACAGACAAATCAAGCATACAAATAAAATAATTTCAATACATGTGGTAATAACACAAAGTTCTGTGGTAGCAACTTTGCCAAATGTATTCCTGTCAGAACACACATCTTCCACATCTTCCATCACATCTCTGACTCTGCTCAGCCATTCTTCATTGGTATTCTTCGGGTTTCCTCCCAGCCTTTACTTGATTATACGCAGGAAGTAACAAACCTTATTTGAATAAAAGTTACTTAGGAAATTATTCCCAATCCTCTCTGGATCATTACTTATGGTCAGCGTTTTAAAAATAACTTTACTTCTCATACTTCCTTTTTTTTTTTTCTTTTCTAGGAGTAGACTATTACAACAAGATCATTGATGATTTGTTAACTAATGGGATAATACCCATAGTGACACTCTACCACTTTGACTTGCCTCAGGCCTTAGAAGATAAAGGAGGTTGGTTGTCAGAGGCAATCATTGAATCCTTTGACAAATATGCCCGGTTTTGCTTCAGTACTTTTGGAGATCGAGTCAAGCAGTGGATCACCATAAATGAGCCTAACATACTTGCCCTGCTGGCATATGATCTTGGTCTGTTTCCTCCTGGGGTATCTCGCTTTGGAACTGGAGGTTATCAGGCAGCTTATAATTTGATTAGAGCTCATGCCAGATCCTGGCACAGCTATGACTCTTTATTCCGAAAAGAGCAGAAGGGCATGGTGTCCCTAGCAATTTTTGCTGGCTGGGTGGAACCAGCAGATCCCAACTCAGTGTCTGACCAGGAAGCTGCTAAAAGAGCCATTGCTTTCTCCTTGGATTTGTTTGCTAAACCTATATTTATTGACGGTGATTATCCAGAAGTTGTCAAGTCTCAGATTGCCTTCATGAGTAAAAAGCAAGGCTATCCATCATCAAGGCTTCCAGAGTTTACAGATGAAGAGAAGAGAATGATTAAGGGCACTGCTGATTTCTTTGCTGTGCAATATTATACAACTCGTTTAGTCAAGTACCAGGGGAACAAGAAAAAAGAGCTGAGTTTTCTTCAGGATGTGGAGATTCAAATTTTTCCAGACTCATCTTGGATAAATTTTGATTGGGTCTATGTGGTGCCGTGGGGAATACGTAAACTACTGAAATATATTAAGGTAAAGCACAACGTTTGTGTTTATGTACACCCAAATATGTAGAAATGGAAAGACAGACATGTGTATGTGTAAGAACTTAGAAAAAGAATGATTTTAAGCAGTAGCTTATATATTTGTTGGCTTGGGAAGAGATATTAGGATTTAAGTTGGTGAGGGGTAACTAGCTGATAAAGGGTTTCAAGCCAAGGTCAAAGTTGGGATACTTTGTTAGAGGCAGTTGTGGTCAAAGGAGTGGCTTAGAAATATTTTTCAGGCTGATGTCACAACTGTGATTGTTAAAAGGCACATTAAAGGCTGAAATACTGGATCCCTTTTTGGGCCTCTGTTATGCTGGATGGTGTCCAGGTAGCTGAAATTAAAATTTTAAGTTAATGATTTCTAGGACCTTTGCTGTGGGGAGATAGAGAATGTAGCTGTTGGTGGGACCAAGGGGTTAAGGAGCAGTGACAATCAGCAGATGCCGATGGAAGAAAGATATTTCTGCCTTCTCATTATGATAAGAGTCATTTGACTGTCTTCATGGACATTTGCACAGTTTTGCTTTCCCATTGTTAGTCATAAAAGGTCAGTGCGTGGAAAATTAAGTTAATAGGGTCAGTGCAATTTGATGAAAACTAGTTTTGGGTTGTAGCTTAGAGAAGATAGAGGGTAATGCACCTGATTTTATGAGTCTTTTTTTTACATCTGTTTGGAATAAAACTTCTGCTCTCTTGTTCCAGGATACGTATAATAACCCTGTAATTTACATCACTGAGAATGGGTTTCCCCAGGGTGACCCTGCATCTCTTGATGACACTCAGCGCTGGGAGTATTTCAGACAGACATTTCAGGAACTGCTCAAAGGTACTATTTGAAATGAGGAAAGATCAATTGTGCAAACTTAATATAATTTTCCCATGTGCCTATTTGCATTCAGCAAAGACCAATGATTTTGAAAGCTGAAATTCATGTAAATCAGTGTAAAGCCATGTAATTAAGAGAGAGGAGAAAAAGTATTTAGGAAAGAGGAAGGTGAGGATTTTGGCCTAGCTTCAACCTTCTAAAATTTAATCAAGTAAAAGCGACTGTCTTCAGCATTTTGTGACTCTTGGGTGAAGGTGACATGAACAGAGGGGTGGCGTCTCTTGGAAGAGAACATTAGTTATTACAAAAAGATTAGCACTGACCAACTACGGCATGTCTGTGTGTATATTTCAATATCCTAACTACCAAGAAATGAATTGACAGAATTTTTAAAGGACCAAAATTAAGCATTTATGCAATAAACTTTAAAATGCCTTCGATGAGTCTTGGCCTGAAACAGGTCTTCCAACACTGTATGTTTCAGTGAAGCTGTACCCTAACAGCCCCATTTAGGAGCAGTTTTTTGTCATATAGAATCTGTGAATTTCAAGACAATATTATTATTCTGGCGGCGGCTCTTCCCCCCATGGAATTCTTTTCATATTTGAAAACAAATATGAAGGAATAATCTTTAACTGGTAACACACATTTCTACACCAGTTAATTTCCCCATTTCAGCTTCTACTTGGAATGCTGTTGCTTTGTAAATTTAATTTCTCCTCCCGATAAAGGAATCATATCACAGAAACAAAATCCAATGTAAAATGAGACTTTCAGTTTCCTTTTTTACCATGATAGGCACACTTCTCTCTCATACCATTCTATTGAATGGTCCTAGAATTAGTCTTCCCAAAATTAATCAGTAATATACTGAAATAAGCCAGAAGGAGTTCTGGAAAGTGACACATAATGGTCTCTTTCCAAAACCTAAAATATATGGTACTCAATCCCTCACTCTGGCTTGGAGTTTATTGGCAGAGGGCAATTGGATTCCTACAATTTGATCCAAGTGAAATAATTCTTTCGTATCACATGCAAAACAGATTCTTCTCTAGGTAGGAATTCACTTTCTGATAAAGTAAAAAGGAAATGTCCAGTTTTCCAAGATTCCACTCTCTTTCTTCCTATAAATGACCCTATTCATAGTTAATCCATTGATGTTCCCAGCTTCATCCTAAGAGGAAAGTAAGCTGGTTACCAACAGGCAGATTTATGGATGATATAAGGACCACAAATGGATTGTCCAAAATTGTTCTGTGTATTTCTGGGAAAAGAGAGAAAAATAGAAATTGGCTTACTTCATTTCCAGCCTGGTGCTCTGTTTAGTGCTAACATATAAGGGCATTTCATTGCTCTTTGAAATAGTTTCATGTGCTTTAATACAGTTAGATCCTTAACACTAAAAACTCACTGGTAGACCCACTAACAAAGACAACTTAAAGATAGAAAAATAACTGAAGGTGAGAGTGGAAAATGTGAACAGATTTGGATTTCTGAGGGGCAAGAGAGGAGACTAAGACTAGACACAAAATTCTGTTCTTCTACTTGTTGAATTTTAATTGTGTCTTTAAACATATGGAAAAAATATTATGCACTTAAAATATTAACTGTTCTCAGTACTATGTTCTCTTCTGATTTTTAACATTAGATGACCTATATTCATTGTCATTAACACATATTATAATGTTTTGCTTTTTGGAAAAATGTAGCCTTTCAAATGTGCAGAAATCTACTTATTGACCAAAAAAAAGATATGTAAGGTGTATCTATTCTGGAGTGAGTATAGTGATAACTATTTCTTATATATTGTTGTAGTGGACACCAATTATTTAATCTGTGGCAAAACTCTCTTTTCTAGTAATTAATCCCTTTTCTTCTCTGAAATATCCATCTGTCTCGTCTTCAGTCTTATCCTAGGGACAGCCATGTAAGTGAAATACAATCCTGCTCCTTGTTAACATATAATTGATTGGTCTGAATGTAGGCACATGACATGAGCTGGGCCAATTCCAATTCCTCCCTGAGGTTTAGAATTTGGGCCAGTCACTTTATCTCTTAGCCTGAATTGGCAGAGGGATGTAATTTTGTGGGCCATTGGTGGCTATGTCCTGCCATGGATGCTAAGCAGTAGTATAAGGGTGGCTGCAGGTGCATCAAGGGACATGGAGACAAGAAATAGGGAGAGCTTCAGGGTGGCACTTGAGCCTCTAATTCCAGTTTTCCTGCAGACCCAACTGTGTGCACATTCTTGAGAAACACTACTTTTGTTTATTATAATTAAGTGCTCTGTCTGGTTCCTCTGAATCTGACTGGGTTTCTATCACTTGGAACAAAAAGAATCTTAACTGATACCATCATATCACTTCATTTTCAAAACAGCGAGATGAGGTCATTGCTCCTATTTTACCGATGAAAAAGCTGAGTTTCAAAGAGGCTAGGTAAGTCATTTGCCCAAGATCACAAAGCTACTAAGTCACATCTCCTAGAACCAAGCAGAGTGTGTGCATTATCATTACCATTACTACTATTTTGGTGTTTGATAAGATCTGTGAGTCCAGGGCTTTCTGACTCAGAGTGATTACTTGTCCTACCACGCAGAACCTGTTCCTTACTTTGATGCTCTGGACTTGAATAAAGTTGCTACATGCTGCCTCTGCAGGGGCCAGTCAGTCCTGTGACCTTGGACAAAGCTCAGACACTCCCTACCCTGCCTCTCATCAGGGGATTGAAGTTTAATTTACTAATCGATTTCCTGAGACTCTTTTGAGGTGGTGGTGATGATCTTGACTGGCAACAACTTTACTAGTAAGAAGTACCCTGTGAGCAATTTAAAATAATAACAGGCCAAGGAATACATTCGTGGGAAGCGCTGCAAGTGAGAGCCCGCCAGAACCCACAGAGTCAGATGGATGATGGCTTTGTGATCCCCACAAACAAAGCCTTCTCTCTAACATCATACATACGGACAGGCACATAATGACACTATAGTTGGATCAATGACATCCGCCTGGAGGTCTTACTGATCTCTTCAGGTAAAATCCCACAGCAATTAATTGAGCAGTAAAAAGTAAGCTAATGTTTTTGTTTCCTTTTGGGAAAGGTGGGAGCAAGGAAAAAATGTCATTTCAAGAAAAAAAAGAGAAATCAGCTAATGGTTTTTTAATCATTGCATTATTTAAATGTGTTTAAATAGATTGCTTTTCATTAAAGTAGGTATAGATAAGAGAAAAGCAACACAGTAGAGACACAACAAACTTGCAATAACCTATAACTAGGCTTACATTTCAGCTCTGCAAATTATTCAATGAGGGGCCTTTGGCAAATTGTTCAGCCTCCCAAATCCTCAGTTTGTTCATCTATAAAAATGGATTAACACGTTCCTTGACAGGGTTGTTGTAATTCCATGTAATGAGCTTTCATGTAACCGCCCTCAACCAGCAATTGCTTGGCACACAGTAGGCTCTCAGTCAACGGTAATAATAATTATTATTACAAAATGTGTACTCTTTTTAATTTTTTTAATGTTTATTGTTGAGAGAGACAGAACACCAGTGGGAGGGGGCAAAGAGAGAGGGAGACACAGCGTCTGAAGCAGGCTCTAGGCTAAGCTCAGAGCTGTCAGCACAGAGCCTGACACCGGGCTCAAACTCATGATCCAAGATATTATGACCTGAGCCAAAGTCAGACACTCAACCCACTGAGCCACCCAAGACCTCCAAAATGTGTGCTGTTAAGAATATACTTATTACCCTAAGTTTTTTAAATTGTCATTTTAAAAATGTCATCCTAAGTTTTTTTTTTTTTTTTTTTTTTTTTCAAATTTCTCTCCAAGTAATTGTTATAGCAGCATATTGCCCCATGTCTACAGGCTTCTCCCTCATTCTTTTTAGGGAACCTCTGAGTCAGTCTTATAATGTTGGCCCTGTGGCTATTTACAGTTGACTCCTATGGAGTAGAAAGCAGCCTCCCTCCATTCATTATTTTCAACCTCTTTCCATCAAAGAGGTTGCCAGATTAGGTGAAAAATTAAATCATTGGCAGCAGAAACGACTATCAAGCAACTGGGTGGCTGGATTTGCTCTGCAACGTGAATTTTTGTTTAAGTTCAGAAAGCAGTGATTGTCAAGGAGTTAAGCTTTTTTCTCATTGTATGAATCTCAGATATGTTCGTAAAATTTACCCCAGTCCTTGCTGCTCCAGAGCAGACAGCAGGAAAGTTTAAGTTCCTACATAAACACATACACATGGATGCCTCAAAGATCTGAAAGCTGCAGGGGAGGTTGACCCCAGTGAGTAGTGCTCTAGACGTGACCTAAATTCTCCTGAAAGGGGATTGGAGTCTGTGCCCCACCTGGTCATCACATGCCTGAGGATGTGCCCAGCATGTGCCTGCCTCTTGCTTGGCACATGATCTTTCCCTCAGCCTGGAATGCCATGGTCTTTGTCTTCTTCCTGGCCCAGATTCTGTTGTTTGGAGTCCATGAACTTGCTGGGAGTCAGACAAGACATGGGTTTGAAGGCTGGTTCTGCCACTCACATGCTCAATAATTTGGGGAAAATTCATAAACAGACAACACTTAAGCTATCTAATCTTTAAAGTGGGGCTAATAAGCGCATCTGACAAATGAACAAGGTAATGCCTGTAAAGCCTAAATAGAGTCTGGCACATTACAAAGGATTCTGTAAATGATTGCTAATTTTTGAACGGGGCCATGTCTTCTTCACAATTATATCTTCAGCCCTGACTGCCATTTCTGTCATGTACGAGGTGTTCTACACATTTGTTGAATTTGCTCGTGTCTGTCAGAGAAGAGTTAGCCAATGGGTAATGAGAAATAAATGATTAAATAATTGAGAACTGTATTTTCTTTCCCTAAAGAAATATACCCCATAGAGGGGGGGAAAAGGCAGACTTCTGGAAAGTTTCTGAGCCAGCTCAACTTTCCAGTCAGATCCATGCCTGAGTTAGCACAGCAGTAGATGATTGCAGAGAAGGTTTG